TTTAAGCAGAGGCTTGACAACCATATGTCAGGAGTGCTCTGATGGTGTTTCCTGCTTGGCAGGGGGTTGGACTCGATGGCCCTTGTGGTCTCTTCCAACTCTATGATTCTATGATTCTAATGAAGAAAATTGCTGGGACATAACTTTCCCAAGATACCTATAGAAACGACAGGAAATGGCATATTGGGGGGTTGAATAGCTCTGTATGTAAAAAAAAAAGTCCAATCGAATAGAGACCTATCAAATAGAAATCCTGAGAGGAGTAAACTCCTCTGCAAAACCTTTTGTGTGGAATGACTAGAGCTAAAAACTAATTTAGTACTTTAGACATATTACTCACCTGGCCAAAATGGCAAGGGTGATCTTGAAACAGAAATAGAGGTTAGGGGGGCAGACAATGGAGAAAGTGTTACAATAATGGGCAACCAACTACCCACACATTAACTGAGTTCATGCATGCTTGGCTTATTACAAAGAGACAGTGGAGGATGGTCTATTAAAGCTGCCCCATCAAACTTGGTCTGAAATCAACCAGTGTGCACGTGCGCACCCCCCCCCCCCGCTGCCATCTTCCTCCTGACTTAGTTTCATTGCCACCATTAGTAGGGAGAAGGATGGAGATAAAATCAGAATTAGTTGGCTCTGCCTTGTCATTGGCTCTGGCTCCACCAACTATTGGCCTCTCTGCCTTCCTCTCCACCAGCCCCAATGGGCACCAGCCACCACTGCAGAGAGACAATGAACCATCTAGGAAGGAGGCAGACCTGGACAATCCTAAGTGTTGTCTGGAAGAATCAGAATGGCTTCTGCAAAGTCCTGCTTACCAAGTTTTGAGTTCTTTGATAAGCATGTTGATGAGGTGATTCTATGGATAGTGTGTACTTGGAGATCTTTGAGTTCCCTAAAATGAGGTGAAGGATTAGGCTGTGCAAAAAAGCTTTAAGGACCTTGTCCAAATTCTTTTGAATTTGAGATATGATGTGGTAGTTTATGCTTCTCCTGGAAAAAAGGCTCTGTGCTCCTCTTAAAAGAGCTGCCTTTCTTTTTCCACAGTAACAGGCTGGCCCTATTGCTTTCTTTAAAATTTATGAAAGCCTTGGTAGAGTTTTATTTTCCATTAATAGGCAGTCAATTCCACCTACCCTTTTAGTTCTCTTCAATACTGGCTTGAGATATTTGGCTATCATTTCAAACCAAAATGGGTCTTTCTGATCCCATGGGGGTAAAGGCTGTAAAAGCTAGCAAAATGTTCCCAGTTCAGGCTGCTCAGCAGTTATCAGAGTGGAACGTCAGGAAGAGAAAGGGATCTATTGTCTTCCCTCTCAGGAATGTGTCTGAAAAGCATTAAATAATCTTAAGAGACACATTCAGGGATACCTCCTTTCTAATGCAACTGTAAAGAGTTAGGAGGATGCTTTCCAATGCCATTTGAAGTCGTTTGGTTTGGAAGGCACAATAAATGAAGTGCCAAACATATTTGAAAGGCAGAAAGAATTTAGGGGGGAAAACAGGGAATGTGGTAAAACTTAGTGGTTAGTCATTCTTTGAAATCTGTACTTCCCTGAATTTGCAATGCAGCTCTTCGGCCAAATGAAGTGCACAAAATTGCATATACTAGGGTAAAGTGTACATTAAAAATGTGCAATAAAATGCATATGTTAGTGGAAATAACATTAAAAAATGCATTATATTGGGGAATTAAGGGAAATTCACATTAAAATGCTAGTGAATTTTCACGAGTTTTTATTATTATTATTATTTTAAAAATGCAAATGGATGTGGAAATGCGAAGAACTAAATTTAAGACTGGAAGAATGAGAGACTGAAACAAAAATAGATGTACTTGCCCATGCCAACCTGCAGCATGTGGGAAGCTGTGGTGTGTCTTCTGCATGTCCTCTGCATCCCCTTGGCCTAATTTAATGCATCCCTAATTTCAAGCAGTCTACAGAGATGGAGTGCCAGAGTGCCAGATAGACAGACAGAAAGACAGAGAGGAGAGAGAGAAGACCACATTCCAGGGCCAGTGTGTGTTATGGCCTGTGGAGAACACCCCCCCCCACCCAGTGTACAGAGCTAGGAAACAAATAAATTTCACAGATCTATCAATTGGGGCATTACAATTTGGGCAACTTGAAATGGCAAGCAGCCACTGCAGATGGGAAGTGGATTTGCCTTCTGTTGTCACTGTTGTCCACCATTACAATGCATCTGGGGGCCTGGCAGGGAGAGTGGTGAATGGCGGCATGGCCAAGTCAGGCCGGTGAGCACCCTCCTCACTCCCAGTGGCTGACTGCTGCTGCTAGACCTGCCCTACTATCTGACCTTCCTGACCCCAAAAACCATCCCTTCAGCAGGTGAGTGAGCTGAAACTGTGTACATGCAGTCTGTTTATGTATGCAATTTAGGGGCAGGGGCAGTAGTTTGACATGGGCATCAGAAGAGGGTATCTGAGACCCTCCTAAAACCAGCCTCTCAGGGAAGTATGCAGAAGAGGGAGGAGGTGCTGTGAACAAAAGCTCCCATATGTCCCATCCTTCTCTGAAGCTTCAGTAGTGTAAACATAACAGTTTTAATGACTGCAATGCTCAACCTTATTTGGGAGGAAAGTGTATCTAGCTCTGCCTGCTGCCTCCTGGAAAACATTGCTCTCACTCTGCAAACTATAATCTACCCCCAAGTTTGAGAACCACTGGCTTAAAAGACAAAGAAACACAAAAGTTACCCAAAAAATCTAAAGATAAAGCCAAGGAACGCTGAACTGATGTCCTGCAAATGTAATTGTTGTATTCGACCCACCTGTACCTGTATGGACAGGTAAATATAGGAGTGGAATATATAAGGTGAATCCACTGACCTTAGCTATCACCGACTGAGGAACAGCATTATTGAATGCATTTGGATTTAAGGCGTAACTTTCTTATCCCTAGATAAATGGAGAGCTTCATAATCTATTAAGTTAGAGTGCTTTCTGATAATTAATTCCCTTGTGGCAGAACACTGCTTGTATAGGCCAAAACAGCCACTATTAGATACTCAAGCAATGGCTTACAAAAAGCTCTCCATATTAGCAGCTGTCAGTGAGAGATGGATTATTAGCTGGGATGCCAGATCATCTGTTTGCTTGTTGTTTTAATATTCAGCAGTCCCATGTGCTTTCCATCTGGACTGCCACTAGAATCGAGCACAACAGCTCTGAAGGCAATATCTCATTCATTACAATATTTCAGAAGCTTCTGTAGACTCGCCAGGGATTAAACACAGCACAATGTCAGACAGTCCATCGGAGATCCCAGCACAGTAAGAAGTGGACACACCTATTTTGGGGCGGTCAAAGGATCATACTTTTGCTCAAGCATTTGAAAGGGAGGAGGGCCTCATTGTTGTCTGATGGAAGATGCAGGGGATTCCTGATATTTAGATGATTTGTTCACCTGATTAGCCTATTTCTAGGAGAGTGCTCCTTCCACTGGCTGCTTTCCCCTACAAGTCCTCTTGCCCTGGTTCTGAGTGAAGAATCCAAGCATTTTGAGCGACTTTCTCTTTAGTGAACCTGCTTTCATATGTTTGGGGTCCCCACATTTGCCCAGATTTTTGTCTCATGTACTGTTGATTGACCGAATGCAACTTCCAGTTCCCCGGCCCACATTCCAAAAATGGTGCACATACCATCTAGTATTGAACAATTGCCTTTTTAAAAATCCAGTTTCAATGTTTGTTTGTTTTTAATACCCCTCAGCCAACTTCTTGTTACCATGCAGAAGTGGAGATGGGTACATGCCATCAGCATCTTAATAGAGCCACGCTTCTGAAGCTGTGGAAGGTCTCTCCCAGTGGCTTGGCATTGTGTCAACATATTTTTCCTGCATGCAGAGCCTGTGTTTATATAGTCCTGCAACAGCATTATAATTCTGGGCCAGTTTTCGTTTATTTGTAAGCGTTTACAGGCAATGACAGCATACAAGCAGAGCTTTGTGGGATCCTGTCTTCTGCTATGAACACATGGACATAGCTTCTTTACACCTTGTATTTATCCTGATAACTCTTGTCAACCACACAGCTGGCCACAGCCTTATCTCTAAAGTGCAGCTTGCTACTTAGCAACACATAAAATGCATGAGTAATACTAGATCTGTCATGCTTTCAGCTGCCAATTGTGGCAAGGAACATGGATCTAGAGATGGAGATCTATTTTTGTATCGCCACCAATCCTATTTTAGTACTGAACCAGAAAGGTGATTGTGAACCACTGATTTGTGAACCATTTCTTTCTGAACTATTTATTAGCATAAGATATTTCAGTGGCGTGTTGATACTCTTTCAAAAGATGCATTTGAATTGTCAGTTTCAGGCGCATCCGGTAACACTCTCATTCTACATGTTTGCTTGGAAGTAAGTCCCAGGAGTTTTCAATGAGATTCACTATCAAGCAAATATACTTTAGGATTTCACTCTGCTGAAAGGAAAGAACTTGCCATTTATCTGGCTATGGGATCAGACTGCCAACACACAACAGAGCACTCCCAGCACTTCTCTCTATGGATGCAATTTCACTACAATGAAAGCATGGATAGATATGTGATTTGAAGCAGCTGAAGCAAGCATATTTAACCTTTTTGGATTCAGTGCTTTCCACGCATCAAGCATCCTTTGAGAAAAGAAAAACATAGCTCTGATCTAGAAATGTACAGGCTAAAATTCACCAATCAACTTTTTTTTAGTTCCCCTCCACCCTCTCACATTGGTCACTGATTCTGAGGCTCAGGGGTTGGTGGACAATGAGGACCGCTGGATATGGGCCCCTATTTTAGGCTGCTCAAATGGTATTGCAGCTGACATGCCTTCTCTCCTCCAGGCACCTCCTAATCCTGGGGTGGCTCTCCAGGTGCTGCAGGATTACAAACCCCATCATCTTTCACCGCCATTTTGAGACAACCAATCTTGCTGTGTTTCAACCATGTAGCACTTTCCCTGCTGTTTCATCACGAAGCTGTACTTACCACAATACCGTTAGTAATTGACCAATACGTGGCCTTTACCGACGCACAGAAAACCACTCCGAAACAGAAAAAAACCTAAAGAGAAACAGAAGGCAATTAGAATAGACCATACAGTTGGAAGAGGGACTCTGAGGATCATCTAGGCCAAACCCCTGCAAGGCACGAATATGTAGTTGTGGAGAATGAACCTGGGACCTTGGTGTTATTAACATAGCTCTAACCAACTGAGAATCTAGCAATTCGAAAGCAGTTCGAAAGCACCTAGCAGTTGGCAGTTCCTGCCAATCTAGCAGTTCAAAAGCACGTCAAAGTGCAAATAGATAAATAGGTGGGAAGGTAAACGGCGTTTCCATGTACTGCTCTGGTTCGCCAGAAGCGGCTTAGTCATGCTGGCCACATGACCCGGAAGCTGTATGCTGACTCCCTCGGCCAGTAAAGCAAATGAGCGCCGCAACCCCAGAGTCGGTCGCGACTGGACCTAATGGTCAGGGGTCCCTTTACCTTTACCTAACCAACTGAGCTATAGTGCTGCAACTGAGGTTTCCACTACTGCAGTTTCACACAGCTATCCCTACTGAGGCAGTAGGATCTATGAAGCCGGAGGTTTGGTGCTCATAGCATCTCTGCTGGCTCGGCAGAATACAAACCACTGCTATAAAGAGCAGCTGCGATGCCTACTGACAGCTGCAGTAAGATCAAAATATATGAGGCCTGCTGGCTAGTAAATCCCAGCACACATATGAAGCAGCGATCTTGCTCACCTACCTTGCCCTTCAGTCGGTGGCCTTCCCCATGCCTGCTGCATGCTCTACAACAGGAGGTGACAATGTGGTATGCTCCAGATGTTTTGGGCTACATCCCCCATCTTCCCTGACTATTAGTCCTGCTGCCTGGGGCAAATGGGAAGGCACCACCTTGGCAATCTGCTCCACAAAGCGTATCACCCATTCCACCTTTTCCTGTTCTTGTTCCCTGACTTTCTATGCTACCCCATCACATCCCTACCTCCTCTTTCCCACCTTTCTCATGCCACTTCTTTCTGTCCCTCCACCTTCTCTCTCTCTCTCTCTCTCTCTCTCTCTCTCTCTCTCTCTCTCTCTCTCCTTTCTTTCTCATCATTGCCAAGAACAACCCTGTTCAGCCCCTGTCCTCTTTCCCCCTCACATATAATCCCATCCAGCACCCTGCCTCTTCCCTCATGCATGTGCTGCACCCGGAAGGCTTCACTGCACAGGAGTCAAGAGAACATTGTTTACCGGATCGGCAAAACGCAACGTATTTAAACAAGCCGAAACAGTGAACACCATTCAGTGCAGGAAGATGTGGTTAGTCTGAGGAGTGTGTTTTAATTTAAAGGAACTATGTGCCCTCTAGTGGTATAACAGCAAATATCATGTCTAGCAATATGGGCCATAGATTATTTGGGATCATCTGTTTATACAGCACCATTAGTGAGAATCATGCTGTGCAGAGGAACATAAGCAGAAAGAAGGGAAGGAGAGAGGAATATAAAACAGGTGATGAATATGCAGGCACACACAGAGAGAGCACCCTGTTGAAGAGGACAACTAAGGGTTTAAGTTAATGAATAGGGAACCTATGGCTCTCTAGATGCTGCTGGGTTCCAACTCCCATCAGTCCCAGACAGCATGGAAAACAGTCAAGGATGATGGGAGTTGTAGTCCAATGGCATCTGGAGGGACACATGTCCCCCATTCCCAGTTTAAGTGAAAGTTTTCCTGGAAGAAGTAGGTTAGGCATAGGCAAACTCAGCCCTCCAGATGTTTTGGGACTACAATTCGCATCATCCCTGACCACTGGTCCTGTTAGCTAGGGATCACGGGAGTTGTAGTCCCAAAACATCTGGAGGGCAGAGTTTGCCTATGCCTGAAGTAGGTTTTGATTTGGGAACAGAGAAAGGTGGCATCATGTTGGTGTTTGGGGAGAATGTTCTAGCTATTAAGAGTCTGTGGTGTATTTACACTAGTGATAACCAAGGTGGGTTAGTGGGTCTGAAGCATACCTTGGAAAAAAAATCAGCTACCGGGTTAGATGCATCCAACTCACTATGACTGTGGAAACAGAAGGGCCCTCTATGACACTGATCCCCTCACTCTGCCCATATATGACAGTGACAACATCTGGGCAAAGATGAGAGGGGGAATCTAGGAGGTGGTATTAACTGAGCTGTCCTGTGGCTGCAAAGAGGATGCTAGCTTATTCTTCAGACACATGCCAGGACATTTAGGCTACACAAAGCGGCTTTAGTGCCCTTGTGCAGCAAGCCTGCTTAAAAAAAAAAGCAACCTCAAGTCTTTTGCAGTAAGGAAAGTGATTGGGAAATGCACTGGGGAGGGTGCAGTAGCAATTGATTGATGTGACACGGTACAACCTTCCTTCAAAGAAAGTAGAATGAATGCTCAGCAAACAGGCAATCTGGAAGCAATGCAATAAAGTTTCTATTTCTACCCCCTGGCTCAAAAACCTAGGGCCAGGATATCAACAGTCTTAGTCACTCCCATCTCTGCAAGCCGGAGTTACTCAGTTTATATTTACTAATGCAGTCCTTCGGACATTGCTGAATGAAAGAAGTGAACATGCTCCAATTAACTAACATTTCAGGTGCATTTGGATATTCCACTGCAGGGGGAAAAAACCAATGGACTCAATAACATTCAGGGCTTTCCTTGTCCTTCTGCTCTGAGAAAAGCAAAAGACAAATGCTTTCTCCACTCAGACAGCAGGCACCAACACTTTCTGAAAATTAAATTATATTATTATATTAGGCCTACTTTACTACTGGTTGTTTGCCATCATCTGAAGGCAGATTTCTATATATAATATTTTATATATAGAACAGGAACGGGCAGGTACAGTATGCAGGGGTGGGGGACAGGAATTCCACTACAATGGCTTTGTTCTTCCTCTAATGCCAGAGGCAGAATGCCTCTGAATACCAGTTGCCGGGAATCCCAAGGGATGTAGCGGTGGTGACAGCGTGTTCCACTCTGCAAGATCATGTGAGAGTTTGGCAAGATCTTGCGAGATCTTGCCGGAAGCGGCAGGTCACCGCTTCTTGGGCTTCTCTCGCGTGATACGGTTGCCTCACCTTGCCTCATGGGCAGGCTGGCCCTGCTTAGGTTAATTCCACCCCAAGCCCAGTCTCTGGGTACCCTCCCCTTGCTGTGCTATACATGCTTGAAAGTGCTACATACATGCCTATCGGGTTGTGAGATGGAAGTTCCACTCATGTGCTGCTTTGGAGGCGCTAAATGTGAGAAACAGCAGCACAGCGTATCAGGCCAGAAGCATCTCTTTGCATGAGATAGCCTCTGTATCTTGCTGTTATGTACATCAGAGGCTGCACTGGGCCGTTCCTGATATCAGATTGTCTTAGGGTATGTGAAAATGGATAGCATGCCTATCTCCAATTGTCCAGTTTCATTGATAACACTCCTATCTGGTGCAACACATTTGTGCTGATAAAGGCAATGTTACAAAATTACAGGCTGCATCGTTTACTATGTCTCCTGTGAACAATTTAAAATCGTTATACAGTCATACCTTGAGTTGCGTTTGCTTCATGTTGCATTTTTTTCATGTTATGGATGCAGCAAACCCAGAAGTGTTTACTTCTGGGTTCGCCGCTTATCAATCTGCGTGCTTCGCGCATGTGCAGATCCCTCTTATCACGTTACGTGTCACACGCACTGACTTTTGGGGGTGCGAATGGCACCCCGGAACAGATCACGTCCGTAAGTGGAGGTATCACTGTATATCTTTGGGGCAGTTAATGAAAACTGAAGGCTTGTTTTAAGAACTTTTCATAGCTCCTTGCAATTAGGCATTAGAAAACAGAATGGAAGACCAGCTATTCAGTTTAGAAGAGTTCCTTTACACCCAAGTCTCAAAAATCTAGTCTATTACACACACTCTCTCTCTCTTACTCTTTTAAGCCAACTTAAGAGAAAAATGATAGACCCCACAACCAGGGAAAGACTGGATCAATGCTATGGTCTTTGCATCCAAAGCCGTGACTAATGGAGAAGGAAGAGCTTTTCATCCCATGTCCAGGTTGTATATATGTGTAAATAAAACCATAAATCCTAAGGACACCACAGTCTCCACTGACCTTTCATTCCAAGCAAACTAAGCCCTGGGTAAGCACTGGAATCTCTTGCTGTTCAGAGTCTGGGGTGCGCGCAACACTTTCCATGAGTTGTAGGGTAAGCAGCTTGCAGCATCTCTTACTCCATAAGAGCGCAAGAAGAGGCCTGTCGAAAGAGACCTAAGGCCTGTCTAGTCCACCCCTCTATTTCCAACAGCATCTAGGGACCCAGTCCCCAGTTCAGACCCATGCTGTGCCCCTACTTACCGCTGCCATGGCACTCTCCAGTTCTCTCACCGTGGCAACAACACTCAGTAGGGCAGCAATGATCAGAAGGATGCTCAGGCATATCCCAGCAAAGAAAACTGAGGAAAGGGAGATGTACATGTGAGTAGGCCAAAATATCGTCAATGTAAGAAGTTCTCCGCTCGATTCTGCCTATCCAGTTGTAGGCAGGAACCTTCCCAAAGATGAAATCTACATTACAGCAAGACTTTCCTTCAACCAATGTGTTGTAAGCAAGGCTGTTCTGGGAGTTTTGCTCCCATGTGCCACGTTCTAATTTGAAACCTAGTTTCCCATGGAGCTGAATTCTAGCAGTTGTATGAAGGAACTGTTTCATATTTTTTTCCTTGTAAACAATAGTGCCCTGCCTTTGTGTGTAAGAAACAAACTCTTAGGGCTGCTTACAATAATCTTTAAGTGAGGCAGGGAAGCCAAGAGGTTGTCAGTGCAATCAATCTTCCAGTGATGAGATGGAAATTTAGTTGTCACCATCCTATGGTCTTGAGCAGAGGAACACTGATGCCCAGACATGATATATGGAAGGGGACACTCCAGAGATTATAGGTGCTACTTTTGTGGCTTAGGGCCCTCGTATCTACTGGACCGCCTCTCCTGGTATGCCCCGCAGAGGACCTTAAGGTCCATGAATAACCATAGTTTAGAGGTCCTGGGCCCTAAGGAAGTCCAGGGCCAGGGCCTTTTCAGTGATGGCTCCGCCCTGGTGAAATGCTCTGTCCCATGAGACTAGGGCCCTTCAGGATTTAACCTCCTTCCATTGGGTCTGTAAGACAGAGCTATTCCGCTTGGCCTTTAATTTGAATTCAGCCTGATCTTTTATTTCCCTTCCCTTCTCTTCCCTCTCCCTCCCCTTTTATGAAGATCACTCACTCTGAGACCCCACAGCTAATTCTCCCCTGGCCTCCTCGCTGGCCCAAGTAGGATCAATTCAGCCAGCTAGCCCTGGGGATTATCTAATTGATTTTTGATTTTTATTGTTATTGATGTTTTTATATTGTATTTTATGCTGCTTTTATAATTAAGTGTTTTAAATTTGTTGTTAGCTGCCCTGAGCCCGGTTTTTGAACTGGGAAGGGTGGAGTATAAATAAAAATTTATTATTATTATTCCCAATTTTCTGTGTATAAGACACCTCATATCCCATGTCTACCTCTCACCACATGTGGCTTTCTTTTGTTTTAGAGTCCTCAGGACTATTAAAGTTGGGTTTTTTGTTTCTTCAAAAGTTTATAAACCTACAAATACCAAACACAGAACTCACAAATAATCCAATACAGTTATACATTTGACTCCCCCACTTTTGTGATTGCTTCTTTAATTTTAGTTTTTTTATACTGCATTTCCCACATCACTCCCCTTTTAAGCTATTCTTTTCTTTCTCTTAATAATCATTTTTAACTGCTTGTTTTAGGTTAACCCTTCTCCCATGCAGCCATTTCGATGTTATGGCCTATATCGCAAATAACAAACTTGCAACTATAAAAATGGCTGAGGCCAAAAATATAGGATCTAGAATTCCATCCACATTAGGAAAACAAAGCCTAGGGGACGGATTCAACTAACCCATTCTGCTAGTGGAAGCCAGCACAAGAATTCCTACTAATGCCATGGGGCTTCCCCTGCTCTCCCACTCTACTCACTCCCCAACCTTCCCCAAATTTGCTCTGGAGGATCAGGGGAACCCTCAGAACAACATGCAGGGTGAAGAGAAGGGGGTCTTCCCATCAGGCAAACAGAACTGCTTGTGCTAAGAGAACCACTGCCTTGGTGCTACCTTGAGTTCCATGCTAACAATTCCATTAAAATTATGTAATAACCTTAAAAACATTGGGGGGGGGGGAAGGGCAAGGAAATACAAACCCAAACAAACCCCCACTTAAGCAGCTAAACTGGCCAGTTTTAACTGTTTCTTACAACAAGATATAGAAATCTTGAATCCAGTGCCCAGTACTTGCCTCCACGGTGAAGCAAAGTTCTTTTGTAAAGGTTCGTCTCTAAAGAGACCTCACTGATGACGGTGAAGTGCTTCCCATAGTAGGTGATAATGGTCAGTATGGTGAGGGAGACCCCAAGCACCTGAAAAGAGAGAGGAAGTCAAGGGGGGGGGGCTGGAACTGAAGGGAAAGCACACAAATTGGGCAGCAGCTATGACCTTTTGGAACATTTTATATTATTCTGTATGTACAAGGTTTTAAAATAGGCTCTAAAGCCCCTCTAGTGCATATAGTTTAGCCCTGGGGTGTGTGGTGCTCTCAGACACACTTTTGGTGCCTGCTACGGTTCCTTGTTCCTCCTTTCAAAAAGAAAAAAAATTAAAATGAGATATTTTTTTTAGGGAGGAGTGCTTGCTTTGCAGGGCATGGGTTGATTTCATTCATTCATTCATTCATTCATTCATTCATTCATTTTGGGTCTGTGTGGGTGTTCTGCCTGGTTGTGGGTGGTGGTGCTCTGAGAACCTCCAGTTTTGCTTCTGTCAAATGGGTGTTCTTGTGGTGCTTGTGCTAGTTTATTCAATTTCCAAATGTGTCCCCAGGCCCCCAAAGCTTGAGGCCCCCAGTTTAGCCACTTCCAATTACCAAACTCCAAGGGGAAAGGATCCAATAAAGAAATCTAAAAGCACCTGAAAAGGTTTTTTAAAAAAAATTCAATGAGCTTTTAATGCTCAATTTCTGCTTGAAACTTATGTGTGTCGTGATTGCTGCTTAATTAGTGTTGTTGTTGTTTCTGCCCTGATGTTGTTGCTAATTTGTCTACATTGTAAGCTGCTCTGGGTGGCCTGTGAGCAGAAGAGTGGATACAAATATTTACCGTAATCGTCCTCATCCACATTATATACAGTGGTGCCTTGCAAGACGAAATTAATTCGTTCCGCGAGTTTTGTCGTCTTGCGATTTTTTTCGTCTTGCAAAGCACGGTGTCGGGAAAGTTTTGGAAAAGCTTCAAAAATCACCAAAGTCTTTTAAAACCTCAAAAAAGGCTACTATGTACACTGCGTGCTATGAGTTGCTCCTCGAAGTCAAGTCGCAACTGTATTAACGGTTTTAAGAAAAAGGAAACAAACTTGCAAGACGTTTTCGTCTTGCAAAGCAAGCCCATAGGGAAAATCGCCTTGCGAAGCAGCTCAAAAAACAAAAAACCCTTTCGTCTTGCGAGTTTTTTGTCTTGCGAGGCATTCGTCTTGCGAGGTACCACTGTAGTTTCCTTCGTACAATCTGAATAGAATCGATCAAACAGCATGTAAAAACACAGCAGCGTCCCAGATCAAAATAGATTTACTTCAACAGCTAGCAATGTCTTGACTTGAGGTAAAAGGAAAATTGCAGAGCAAAGGAAAAGGAACCTTCAATTGCGTCACCTGAGGCGTCAGGTAAAGAGATGGGGTCTGACTTCACAGTAGTCAAAGCTGGAGCTTTTCTCTGGCTTGCCACCGCAGTACTACGGCAAGTGAAGGTGGAGGGCAACAAGGGGAGTTTACACACTGGCCAGTTGAATAAATAGAGAATGGGAAGTAGCTCCGATCAGCTGCCTTGCACAATTTCAGTCGCAGCCGCAGGCCTGTGAATCATCACGCTGACGCTAAAGTCAGCTCGGACAACAGAGGCAACTAATGGGACCCACCCCAGTTGACAGAAGGAACCCTGGTCTCCCAGCTCCTATTTCACCTTGGTTAAAGGTAAGCAGAATTCACCTTGAGGTGAAATAGGACCTCAGCCCCTTGCAGCTTCTTAACTCTTAGTCCCCAACACAACTCACAGCAGAAGGCTTTGCGGAGAGGTGTGCTCACTCCCAGTCCAAGCTGCAACCCTGCAGGGTAATTTTTATTGCACCAGTGACCAATTCTCAAACACTTCCACTAATGATATTAAATATAATATCTAAAAGAAGAAGGCAGAGGACTCTCTGTCCAAAATAAATGCCTTTCCAGAGCTTTATCTTCCAAGATACCATAAACGAGGCTTACTTCAGAAACAGTTGATATACTATCCTTTCACAACATTTTTTTTAAAAAAGGTAAATAATTTAACTGCATATACACCATATTAAATTAACTTTTCTTTCTTAGCAACTGTGTTAAGGCTGCAACATCTGCTGGTGTGACATTTCTCAAGGGCTTTTCTCACCACATTTAGAAAGACAAATGGAGAAACCACAAACCTACGGATAAGAGCCGGCAGTGCTGTAAAGGCTTGATAAGACCCCCGAGACACATTGTTAAGTCCTGCAGTTTAACTACACGCTCCCGGTATATATTTTAAAAATTACATTCCATTGTTTTCTTTATGAAATTAAATTCCCACATCTAATAACAAATTGGTGCTTTATTCCTGCATAATCTCTTACCATCACAAAGAAACTGGCCACCAGCAGCTGACACTTCACAGCTCGGACCCGGTATCTCTGCCCCATGCCTTCCTCTTCTCACCAGTTACTGGCAATCTTTCTGCTGGAGAAGTTGCAAAAGAGTCTGTTTAGAAAGAAGGTTTGACTTACAGGAGGTGCTTGCCCCACTGCATCTTGGGAAATGTAGTGCTAGTGCTTACCAACTATCTCCTAATACAGGTACTCATGATTGCACTGACTCTGTGCTTCTCCAAGAGTTTCATTTTATTAACTCACATAATGTAAAAAGTTTCCTCGTGAACTATTTCCCCAATGCTATTTATACATACAGAGAGACATGCATGTCTGTACACACATGACAAGCATTTTCACCCACTGTGGTGTAGTGGTTAGAGTGCTGGACTAGGAGCTGGGAGACCAGGGTTCCAATCCCCACTTGGCCATGAAGCTCACAAGGTGACCTTGGGCCACTGACTGCCTCTCAGCCTAACCCACCTCACAGATTACATGAGAAGAGGGGAACCATGTATACACCACCTTGAGCTCCTTGGAGGTGCGATAGAAATGCAATAAATACACAAATCAAACCTAGTTTAAAAACGGAACCCCACAGGACCTTGTTTATGTAGATACCAAGCACTGCAATGTCTGGGGGCACTATATGAATTAGCAGGATGATACCATTCTGGAAGAAGGAAGCCATGATAGATACAGTGCAGGACATTTGCCAGAATCATAGAGTTGGAATAGACCACAAGGGCCATCGAGTCCAACCCCCTGCCAAGCAGGAAACACCATCAGAGCACTCCTGACATATGGTTGCCAAGCCTCTGCTTAAAGACCTCCAAAGAAGGAGACTCCACCACACTCCTTGGCAGCAAATTCCACTGTCGAACAGCTCTTACTGTCAGGAAGTTCTTCCTAATGTTTAGGTGGAATCTTCTTTCTTGTAGTTTGGATCCATTGCTCCGTGTCCGCTTCTCTGGAGCAGCAGAAAACAACATTTCTCCCTCCTCTATAGGACATCCTTTTATATATTTGAACATGGCTATCATATCACCCCTTAACCTCCTCTTCTCCAGGCTAAACATGCCCAGCTCCCTTAGCCGTTCCTCATAAGGCATCGTTTCCAGGCCTTTGATCATTTTGGTTGCCTCCTCTGGACACGTTCCAGTTTGTCAGTGTCCTTCTTGAACTGTGGTGCCCAGAACTGGACACAGTACTCCAGGTGAGGTCTGTCCAGAGCAGAATACAGTGGCACTATTACTTCCCTTGATCTAGATGCTATACTCCTATTGATGCAGCCCAGAATTGCATTGGCTTTTTTAGCTGCCGCGTCACACTGTTGGCTCAAGTCAAGCTTGAGTCTGAGGGCTGACTCAAAATCTTATCGTCCACAGAAAAAAAGAAACAGGCAGGTGGACAGGAAGGGTACTTTGCACGCTTGGCTCAGAAGCAAGATGATGTCAGAAGTAACACAGAGAACATGGGAAGAAGTAGAGGCAGAAGATCTTAAAGGGTGAGGCAGGGGCTACACAAAGGCGGTTAAGAGAGTGGTTTGTGTTTTTGTATTACAATATATTTTCTTTACATTGACTTAAAATTTATTTTCTTCCTTCTCTCTATAGTCTCGTCTTATGCAATCTTTCAAGGGGAGGCTGTTTTGATATTTCAGGGAGTCCCACTATGCACGGCACAAACACTGGCAGCTGCAACACAGTTTGGAAGTTGGGGGCCCTTTTTCTTGGTGGACCTGGGTAGGAACAGTGAACAGGAAGAGTGCTGTTGGAGGGTCTCATTACTCATATGCAAAATAGATTTTGGTTACAACAAAAGCTTAGAAGATTACACACAAACCCCTTCACTTTAAATATGTAACATTACCTTTGTCTTTCCTCCATTTCCTTTCCATAAACCTAAACTTTTAGACCAGGCATGTCCAAAGTCCGTTTCGGGGGCCTAATCCAGCCCGCCGGTCGATTTAATCCGGCTCCTGTGGTAGTACAGTGGTACCTCTAGTTATGAACTTAATTCGTTCCGGAGGTCCGTTCTTAACCTGAAACTGTTCTTAACCTGAGCTACCACTTTAGCTAATGGGACCGCCGCCGCATGATTTCTGTTCTCATCCTGAAGCAAAGTTCTTAACCCGAGGTACTACTTTGGTCGGCCCTCACGCATGTTCATCAAATCTGGCCCTCTTTGAAAAAAGTTTGGGCACCCCTGTTTTAGACCATAAAGGAAATCTGGGAGTCAATTCACTTTGTCCACTAGAGGACCTCAGAGACTAAAAGAAGCATTTTTGTTTCCTCTGTTCAACTGCAGTAGTAGCTCTCCGAACAGGACCTTAAGCTGCATTATCTACATGGAACAGGGAAATGTGATGCATGGTGAGTTTGTGGTCCTCGTATGATTTATGCTGGTGATGGCCACATTTCAACATTCGGGCTTCTGTATTGTCAATACTGGTGTTCACAACTGGGGGAAATTCAGCAGGTGCAGCTTGTCATCATATTGTGCTTCAGGGTTTTAAACAACGGCACCTTCCAAAATATGTACAAGTATTATTATGATTTAAAAAACCCAGAGCTGAATAAATCTGTTTTAGGGTGGCTGGATGCAGAAGAGGGCAGGATTTTCAGCAGCTGCAGCTTGTCATGCAACGACTCCATGCCTCTCTCCTCCTTTCCTGCCATGTCTAGGCAACTAAATGTGTACCGTCACGTCATTATGGTTTGTTGCCTGCTCCACCTCACAACATCCGGTGTTGGTCCTGGGGTGGGGGAGCGTACAGTGTGATGACATCCTATCATATGTTGCATTTACACAGACATTACAAAGAAAGTACAGGGGGCAAAGAGATATGAAAGGGTGGAGCACTGTAATTGGCTGAAGAAACATGTCCCCTCACCAGTTTTGCTGCCACACTTGCAGCACGTGATGAATTGGAAAGGGCCTCTGTTGATTTTTTTCAGGAATTCTCATAGAATCATAGAACCATAGAGTTGGAAGGGACCCCAAGGGTCATCTAATCCAACCCCCTGCAGTGCAGGAATCTCAACTAAATCAGGCATGAAAAGGTGGCATATTGCTTAAAAACGTCCAAGGAAGAAGAATCCATCACCTCTCTTGGAAGTCTGTTCCACTGTCGGACAGCTCTTTCTGTCAGAAAGTTCTTCCTGATGTTTAAGTCGGAATCTACTTTCTTGTCACTTGAACCCGTTGGTTCAGGTCCTACCCTCCAGAGCAGGAGAAAACGAGTGCATTCCCTCTTCCAAGTGACAGCCCTTGAGATATTTGAGAATATATCCTTAGTCAAGATCACATGGCACCTGTCATCACAGCCACAGCGGGCACTGTAACTCTCCAGCTGTTTGACTTTACCCTGAAGGTGCATTCTTCCATTGTCTCCTGAGACAGAAGGATGCCTATATATTCTTCTTTCCCTCCTTTCCTGTTCCATTTTTGAAATTCTGTCTCACTGCACCCCACTCCAAACTTTCTTCTGTATGCTGAACCTCATTCACATGAACACATTTGTGTGTCTAGATACAGCATTCATATACATTTGCTCAGACCCCCATCTCAGCACGTGCAATTGGATGCATATCAAAGCAGTCACATGATTGCTCACCATGACCAAATCTTACCATTTACAGTGCAGGTCTGTGTCTACTCAGAAGAAAGTCCTATTCCATTCAGTGGAGCTTACTCCCAGGTACATGGGGTTAGGATTGCAACCCAAGTTATTCCTGAACACATTTCAATAGAGATGGGGAAGCTCCCCTAGGCTCATTTTGGATTAGGACTAGCAATTGAAAACAAAAGTAGCCAATGTCTGGGAAATGTTCTAAATTTGGTCACACCTGTCACTCCTCATGAGCCTCCAAATTCACTCCCCTGTAAGACTCCAGTCATTTCATAATGTTCCTGATCTGCTGGTGACAAAGTGGGAAAGTCCTTTATCTTCTCCTGCTGTGGAAAATGCTGTGGCTATGATGGCAGAAGAGATGTTAGGAGGCTCTCTCCTCCTCTTTCTGTCCCCAACAGTTGGAACTTCTGGGAAATGTGATTTTTCCTGTGAACACCTGCCACTATCAGATACACTGGGGAAATTACATTTCTTCAGGGCTCCAGGTAATAGCAAGGGGAAAGGAGGGAAGAGAAAGAAAAGGGCAGAAAGAGAGAGATGCTCAGTCCTCTAGCCATAATAGCACTTGATGCCCTAATAGCAGCCTGGAAAGCAGGTCAACAAGCCAGGTAAGATGGTGGGAGAAATTCTCCTCTATCTTGCTTTAGAATCAAAGCAAGAGAAGAACTGGGGTGTGCGTGTCTGCCATATTGCTTGTCTCATGTTTAAGGTGAGTATTGACAAAAGGCTGCAACATCTTCAGCGCCTCTTTTGTGACCAGCTGAAAAGTGGCTATTTCTTGTCTTCTACTCCACCACACTTCTGAGTGTATAGCTTTAAAGCCATACTGAATATCAAGCTGGGTGGGAAGCTGCTGCATCAGTTAGCTTGGATTAACTGATCTAGTGTAAAATCTTGTACATGACTTCGAGGGAATGGGAAACCTACAGCAGCAGCAGCAGCAGCAGCAGCAGGTCTTTGAGAAAAAGCCTTGTGGGAATGAAGTGGGAGGTTTCTTGGGATGATAACATCTTTACCAGCAAGTAACCCTGCCTTCTGGCTGTGCTGTTGTTACCTTACCCTCTTTCCCTCCCTTTGTGATATGTGAAGCCAGCAGCAGAAAGGTAGGAATGAGAGGGACCTTTACACTAGAGGAGCTCAAACTTGGAAAGGTGTTTTCCAATTTGTGCAAGCAAATCAGATGGCTGCTGGATGCACAGGGCATCTAGAAGCAGCCAAAACTGTCTTTGGAGTGTTCTTGGAAGATGCTTTGGCTCACAGTTGAATTAGAAATTGCCTGAAAAGAACTGATACAAGAATTTGGTCGGGTGGCAGGATTTAAGTTGAACAAACAAAAGACTAAAGTTTTGGGGAAAAACTTGACGCCTTTAGAAATAGAGGGGTTTCAGAAGGAAACAGAATTAACTGTGGTTAAGAAAGTGAAATACCTGGGGATACACTTGACGCCCAAAAATTTGAATTTGTTTAAGGATAACTATGAGAAATGTTGGATAGAAGTTAAAAAAGATTTGGAAACTTGGTCGAGACTGAAACTTTCCTTGCTGGGCCGAATTGCTGCAGTTAAGATGAATGTCCTGCCAAAAATGCTGTTTTTATTTCAAGCCTTGCAGGTCGTGGACAGAGTAGAATGTTTTGGAAAGTGGCAGAAGGATATTTCTAAGTTTATCTGGCAGGGCAAAAAGCCCCGAATAAAGTTTAAAATACTAACTGATGCAAAAGAAAGAGGGGGGTTTGCCCTGCCAGATTTAAGGTTATATTACGAGGCGGCAGCCTTCTGCTGGTTGAAAGATTGGATTTTATTAGAGAATACAGATGTCCTAGACCTGGAAGGTTTTAACAACTCGTTAGGATGGCATGCATATTTGTGGTACGGCAAGGCAAAAACACATGGAATGTTTAAAAACCATATTGTCAGGAAAGCAATCTTTATGGTCTGGTTGAAATACAAAGACTTATTTGAAAGTAAGACCCCGAGGTGGCTATCACCAGTGGAGGCCAAGGCGTGGAAAAAACCCACTATGGAGGCCGGCTGGCCGAAATATTGGGAATTAGTAGAAAAAATTGGTGATAATTGGAGGTTGCGGAGCTTTGAAGATATAAAGGATAAGGTGCAAGATTGGTTTCACTATGCCCAAATTAATGAGGTCGTTAAGTTGGACAAAAAAACAGGATTCCAGGTGGAAAAATCGAAACTTGAGACAGAGTTGTTAGAACCAAAGACCAAGGTATTATCGAGAATGTATAACTTGCTGCTTAAATGGAATACACAGGATGAGACAGTTAAATCAGCCATGATAAAGTGGGCCCAAGACATTGGTTATAATATCATGTTTGAAGACTGGGAAAGGTTATGGACCACCGGTATGAAATTTACGGCATGTAATGCCTTGAAAGAGAACAGTCAAGCTTGTTAAGATATACCATTTGTCTGACAACAAATGTTGGAAGTGTAAGGAGGCTGATGGAACTTTCTTTCACCTTTGGTGGACTTGCCCGAGAGTGAAGGCCTTTTGGGAAATGATTTATAATGAGTTAAAAAAGGTGTTTAAGTACACCTTCCCTAAAAAACCGGAGGCCTTCCTCTTGGGTATTGTCGGCCAAAAGGTGTTAAAGAAGGATAGAACGTTTTTTATGTATGCAACTACAGCAGCAAGAATCCTGATTGCCAAATATTGGAAGACTCAAGATCTTCCCACGCTGGAAGAGTGGCAAACGCAACTGATTGACTACATGGAGTTGGCCGAAATGACCGCCAGAATCCGAGACCTGGGAGAAGAAGCTTTGGAGGAGGACTGGAAAAAATTTAAGAACTATTTGCAAAAATATTACAAGTTATATGAACTATAAAATGACGCAAAATTTGAAATACTAGCCCCAGCAATGAGAGTGCAATATCTATGAAATTGGATAACACTATTGAAAGAATCAAGTTTAAATGTTAAAAATGTTAATATGGAATGTTTTCAGAGTAATTGGACAATAAGGGATTTAAACTTAAATTGCAATTGAAAGTACAAAGAAACACATGAAACAAGGTTACAATTTGCTGATAAATTTATTGTTAAGAATGCATTGTGCGGGAGATGTGGGGAAGTTCGTTGGAATGTTGAAATAAGCGGTTGGAAGGATATGATTTATTCTATTTTCTTTCTATCTTCCTTTATTTTCTTGCTTTTCTTCTTTGTTGTTTGATGTCTGAAAAAATGCAATAAAAATTATTTAAAAAAAAAAAAAAGAAATTGCCTGAAAAGACAGAGGAGTTAATATATTTTGGCTGCAAATTAGCAGACCCTGTTTTTCAATAACCAAGCCATAGACTTTTGAAATTTTTGATTTCTCTATGGTATATTTTGTTATGTGAAGAGTACCACGGACCACCAAATGGGAACCTCTGACACAGACTGTATGCCTTCTATTGTGCTGGGGCATCAACAGCTATTTGTGGAATGAAGTTTTAGTACACAATCAAGCTAAGAAGCCATAGGTGGTTCATTTGAGTCTTGGGTACAGTTGAATTCAGTCTGACCCTCTGGCTCACTAGCAGCTCAAAGACTGAATCCCACCACTCTTTCCCTGATAAGAACTTTCCTTTTCACCCTTCTGTATTTTAGATCTGGTGTGACACCACCTCCAAGGATTTGAATCTTTGGGGCATTCTTTTGAGAACGGGTTCAAAGCAAGCAAGGAGAAAAAGTCTCAAGGCCATTCAGATCTTCTTTTGCGTGTGAGATTGCAGACGGCCAAAGAAGCCGAGCATTGAAAATGCACATCTCTTCCTGTAGAAACCGGTCTCCGCAGAGAACAGAAAATTACAGGGGGTGTTGGCGCTGCCTCCGTGCATTCAGAGTCTTTCACCTACTGGCTATAATATGGTTCTGTGCACTTTGGAGTTTGCCTGTTAAAGAGAAGAAAAGCGGTGCCCTATAAATCACCGAGCCCCTTTACCCTCACCAAAACATACACTAACTAAATTAATTAGAGCAAGCTCCCCTTCACCATCACAATTACCTGGGAACAAAAAGCCCCCACAGCCCAAGCCTGCATTCTCTGGTGCCTCACAAGGATGCATTGTGAGAGCTGATTAACATGCATTAGCAGCTATGCACAATCAAAGCTAAAATAAACTTTTAAACCCAGGCCTGTCTCCTTTTCAAGAAAGGAAGGAGCGGAAGGGGTTGCCGAGGCAAGGCGGGGAGAGCAGTTGGGTCTGCCAGGCTTAACATTCATGACGCGACGGCGGCAGTGAATGGAAACAAAGTTTGACTGTAGCTGGCTTAAAAGAAACCAAACCAAGAGAAACCCCCCACAAAACACCCCCCACTACCACACACACAAAAACACAACCCCCTCAGTAACAGGGCGGGTGGGTGTGGGGGAGGTTTTTGTAAAAAAAAAGGGGAGAGTTTTCAAAATGTGCCTTAGAAACCCAAACAGAGGCCCAGGCATTTTCAAATGAATTTAAATGAATAGGATGCTGAGGGAAATGGTGAGGAAAAGCTCGCCCACCTTTAGAAAACGGTACATGTGAACAGAGCACAGAGAGGGAGAAAGTATTCTCTTTCTCTCACGCCCATTAAAGGATGCGTTTCAGCACATGCAGAGAGAGGACAACTGAAGTATGTGAAGGAACATTTAAGGTCATGCAAAGCACCACAAAAGCCAGGAAATGTAAAGCTGCCCCAGTGACTTTGTAAGGCAGATGGAAGGGTGGGCTTGTACAACTAAAACACACACACACACACACACACACACACACACACACAAAAGCTGAAATTATTACTGTTATCTCCCCATGACCTAGTCCTAGAAGTCTGATATTTGGTAGATGTAGCCCAGGGATAGGAGACCTTTGACAGCCTGAGGGCCACACGCCCTGGTTCATGACCTTCCAGAGGGCAGATGCTAGCGATAAAAGTGAGTGGGGCAACAGATAACAACTCTTGCCTTAGCAGCGGTGGCTACATTCCAGCCATGTGTAAGTCACAAGTTTTTACACACACCTACCTCCATCCAGGCAGGCATGAGGCATGCTCACATTTCATGTTCCGGCCAGGCAAAAGCACTTGAGGAGGGCACAGAGCAAGGCCAGGGAGGGGTGTGGTCTGGATAGTCTTGACACCTTGACAGAGGCCTAGAAGACAAGGGCCATAGCCCAGTGGTAGAGCTCCTGCCTTGAAAGCAGAGGGTCCCTGGTTCAATCCCTGGCGGCCTCTCCAGGTAGGGCTGGGAGAGGACCTCGGCTGAAAACCTTGAGAGCTGATGCCGGTCAGTGTAGACAAAGCTGAGTTAGTTGGGCCAACTGGGTTGACCTGGTACAAGGCTGGTTCCAACATGGGCCATGTGCTCTTCTCCACCTGAGATTCCAGACTCCTGGGTTGCAGTGGGACTGGGAAGACCCAACTCCATATCCTCAGTCCTGAAGCTTACTTGGTGAGCTTGGGCCAGTCTGGATATTCCTGTCAAATCTGCTTCACTGTGACAATAAAATGATGGTGGGAGGCCTCCTTGAGCTCCTTTGAAGAAAAGAGGGATATAAATGCAAAAATAAATATGCATGAAAATAAATGAATAAGCACATGTATAAGTGAAATGTTTCCAGGCAAGGCAAAAATACAGTAACTTGTTGTGTAAACGGTAACACTCTGTACTTTTCAACAGTTGGTACGCAGATAGGCCAAGACACCTGCAAACCTTAATTTTGACTTCAAAGAAGCAAAATAAATTACACTCACTTGTGTTTTTTGACATATGAGTGTGGATTCCCCCACAAGGGGTGGGGCTGGGATTTCTAGGCTAGGTACTCCTGGCAAAAAGGCAGCTCTGCTTCTGCCCTGCCCCCAAAGATCCATCTGAAGGCTCCAGCAATAACCCACACAGCCATGAGGTTCAGTGGGTGACACTGGGCCAGTCGTTGCCTTTCAGCCTGACCTACCTCACTGGGTTGTTGTGGGGATTAATTGAGGGGGGAGACATGAAGTCCTTAGAGAAAAAGGTGGGATACAAATGCAATTAATAACAACAACAATAAAAGCTGCATGTTATAGGAATTCAATTGATGCCACTCTTCCCAATATGTTAAGGCAGCAGTGGTCAAATCTGCCTCTGTTAAAAGCCTACAATCTTATACTAGCCGTCAGCGGTTTTCTGTCTACAGCCTTCAATTTAGTTCCCTGCAGAAATCCAATAGGCTACTTTATTCTTCAACATGATGCCTCCTGGAGAGCTTTTGGTGAAACAATCAAGCTGAAGTTTCCACTCTTATATTGTTGTAAGGAGCTCCCCAGTTAAAGTGAATTTTCTACACCAAGGGTCGGCAAAGCTTACCGGGCATGGGCCGGATCACTCCCGTGGAGATCCTCTGCAGGCCAGACCGGCGCAGTGTGATGCCGGAAATTGCGTCTGTGCATGTCCATGGCGCCGGAAATTGCTTCTGCACATGCCCAGATGCCGAAAATCACGTCTGCGCAGAAGTGATTTCTGGTGTCTGGGCATGCACAAAACGATTTCCAGCACCACAGACATGTGCAAGCGCGATTTCCGGCATCTGCACATGCGCAGAAGTTATTTCCAGAGCCGCGGAAGAGAGTCTCCATGCCATGCCGTGCCGGTTTAGCGCAGTGCGTGGGGACTCGCAGAGTAGACAACTCGGTTCAGAGGCAACTCATGGGCTGGTTAAACCCATGGGCCTTAGGTTGCCTACCCCTGTTCTACACCTCGTTTAGTGTTTAAACACAGCCAAACAAAATTTTCATGAAGAACCTTTTCAACCATCTGTGAGAAAGAGGCTGGATATCATTAACCCATGCTAAATCAGTTCTGGGGCAGAGATGATGCTCAGAAGAAAGTCTTCTGCCCAGGTAAGAGACCGGGGGTGAATAACCTTCTTACTGCTGCTGCATTTGAAGACCACCATGGCCAGAATGAGAAACATTCCCAGTGTTGCAATCTGCCGCCCTCTTATGTTTCATGGTCTTCACACTGACAGGTTCCAACTTCTGGGTAAGCCTAGATTGTTCTCAATCCACACAGTACAAGTGCTGAATCCAACGGAAGATTTGCTAACGCTGCTATCTTGTGCCAGAAGGGGGAAAGAACCAGATGGTTCCAATCCAGATTAAAAGAGCGATGCAGTATATTTTGGCAACAAATCGTCTTTAAAAAAAAACCCCTCTTTCAAAACTACAGCTGATGAAAGACTTGTATGTGACAATTAAATAAGTGTGGCATAGAGGGCTTGTTGTTGTATAAACAACTGTGCAGAACTGAGAATTTAGAGAGTTTGCAAAGGAGACCAAGAAGGCAATGTTTTTATTATCGTTGTGTATCACTTTTAGCCAGAGCACATACAGCCAGAGAAAGCATTGCCATTTACATTAAACAAAGTGATCCTGAAAGGACAGGTTAATTATTCCATTCATTTGAACCTGAACAAGAGAGGAAAAGACACTTCCTAGGGGTGTGTGGGTGACATCAATGTTATGTAAACGCTTTGGCACTCTGCATCTCTCCCCGCCCCCCCAAAGACAAAATGGTAATCAGCATATGGAGTGGAAATATGGAATCACACCCTTTCGAGACAAACAGCTGTACCCATGAAATTTCCCCACACCATCTGGGTTTCTGGGGTGCCCAAAGTAATGAAAACAACCTCAAACATTTGAAGTTGTATGTGCCCAGTCTATGGAGAAGGGCTCAGTAGCAGAGAATCCACTTTGCATGCAGAAGGTCTCTAGCTCAATTTCCAGATAGCATCTCCAGGTAGGGCCAGGAGAGCAACCTGTCCAAAACCCTGCAGAGCAATACTGACATGGATCAAAGGTCTAAATCAGCATAAGGCAGCATCTTATGCTTTTATGCAGGTATGCAACTGAAACCCTGAAGACTGGGGCACTAACCTCACCCCAAGTGCATTGTAGCACCTGCACAGCAGGCCCTGAAATCCTAGGATCTAGCTGTCTGTCAAGGTGGACACAGTGCAGAGCATGCACCTTGGGTCTGGCTCAATATTAAGACGGCCCCCCCGTTCCCAATACAGACGCTACTTATGTTAGCAGCTGAACTCCCAAGTTCCTTAAGTCGTGTGTGGGGACAGAGCTTGCCGACCAGGCGCTGCTCTCTCAGGTGCTGGGCGAGGCGCTCGCGCAGCCCCCGGCCGGGCCGCTTTGGGATGCAAATGAGGCGCAGCGCGTGCGCCTGGCGAGGAGCAGGAGGAGGGCTTGTTTATGGAACCTGGGCCGGGAGCCACGCGCCGGGCGCGCGAAGTTGCCAAGCGAGCTTCCCATTGGGTGGGAGGAGGCTCGGGAGCCAAGCGGGCGGCAGGGGGTTGCGCGCGGGGTGTGCGGCGCGCGCCGCGTCGCGTGCTGCTGCTGCCGGGGCCCGCGAGCGGCGGCAGCAGCGCGTGTTGATAAGGGGCAGAGCGACGAGGCGCTGGCTGCAGAGGTGCCTGGGCAGCGCGCGAGGAGCAAGAGGGAGGGAGGGAGGCACGAAGCGAGAAACGAAGGAAAGCAAGCGGGGACGGAGCGCGCCCGGGTCCAGCGCCTTCCCAGCGCAGCCGGCCTTCACCTTTGCATCCCAAGGGAACGCCGACTCCAGCCTGCCGCCGCCGCTTCGATTTTGCGCGCCAAACTCCGGATCTTAGCGAAGGCGCCGAGGCCGAGAGCCGGGCACATCGATGCCCCAAGATGAACGGCGGGGCGATCGCGACGGCCACGCACCAGGCGCCTGGCGAGAGTTTCCCTTTGGGCGGCTGCAGCGGCGCCCACCCGGGCTCCTCGTTGGCTCTCCGGCTGCAGGCGGGACCCTCTCCGTCGGGGCAGCCTCCGCAGTGGGGCGCTGCTAAAGGCGGCCCCGGCCCGGCCGCGCAGTCCTCGTCGCGCTGCAAGAGCGCCAAGCGGCGCTCCAGTTCGCCGGAGCTGCTGCGCTGCAAGCGGCGCTTGGCGTTCCCGGGCCTGGCCGGCCAGGCGGGCGTCGGCGGGGCCGCGGCGGTGGCGCGGCGCAACGAACGCGAGAGGAACCGCGTCAAGCTGGTCAACCTGGGCTTCCAGACGCTGCGCCAGCACGTGCCCAACGGCGCCGCCGCCAAGAAGATGAGCAAGGTGGAGACGCTGCGCTCGGCCGTCGAGTACATCCGGGCTCTGCAGCAGCTCCTCGACGAGCACGACGCCGTCAGCGCCGCCTTCCAGGACAGGCTCCTGCAGCCCGGCCGCATCGCCGCCGCCGCCGCCTGCGCGGGCGGAGGAGGCTGCAGCGGCAGCTCGTATTCCTCCGCCTCGCCCTCCTTCGACGGCCGCGACGGCAGCTCGGTGCCCGGCTCGCCGCGCTCGGCGTACTCCTCGGACGAGAGCGGCTACGAGGGGGCGCTCAGCCCCGAGGAGCAGGAGCTGCTTGACTTCACCAGCTGGTTCGGCAGCTACTGACCCCCAGCCGCCACCGCCGACTCCGTCGAGGGAGCTCGCTCTCCGGTAAGCGGCAGAGACACAGCGGGACATGCTTCGCAGTACATCTGCATGGGAGGAGGTCGTAAGCGCGCCAGTGTTTCTTGGTACACTTGTAGGGTTGGAAGGAGCTCACCACCTTCTCAGTTTGAACAGCTCTTAACTGTCAGAAAGTTCTTAATGCCGAGGTTGCAGGTTTGGTCCCCATATTCCTGGCTTGCTGGGGGTTGGACTAGATGATCCCCAGGGTCCCTTCCAACTCTACAGTTCTATGATTCTTCGTGGTAGTCTTTTCATTGAGTCATTTCAGGGTAAAACTCTCTTCACACAGCACACACAATCTGTGTTTTTAAACAATCCCCTGCTGCATTGCTGTGTCAGCCAGGGTTAGACAGTTATGCACATGCTACCGCAGCACGCTCCTGTCAACCTGGATTGGGATTTTGGCACATGATCACACAGGTGAGCTGAAGCTGATCTGGCCAGGGTGGCAGGGGCAGCGTAGCTCAAAGTTAGCACCAAATAACTGAAACTGGCCGCTGCAAGTCAAGACAGTCATGTGAATGACTCAGGTGTTTTAATATTGCTTGCATGCGAAACTTTCCAGTGAAGGCTGAAATAAATTGACTGAAGCTGGTAATGCAGAAGCAATTCAGTGGTGCTAAAGTTCCACTGAAATGAATGGGGCTACCATGAAAATGGGCTTAGTGTTGGTGTGCCAGTGGTCTTAATGCACTATTGAAGATGGTTCTCTTCATGGGGAGGGCCACCCAAATCAACTTCACTTCAAAGGTTTGTGCCAATAGTTTTACATAACTTATAAACATTCAGATCTCAGGATGGATACCGCTTGCAGTCGAATTGTTTCTCATCCTGAGTTTTGTTTGAGTTGGCAAGGGCATTGTATCTGCTGCTTACCTGTGTTTCTCATTTGGAAAGAAGAAAGATATAGGTTAAAAATGTTTTGGGGTGAGTTTGCCTTGCAGGATAACTTAAGAGTGCAGCCCTGTACAACTCCGAAGTAAGGCCCACAGAGTTCAGTGTGGCTTACTCCAATCTCTTGGGTGTGGATATAGGATTGCAGTCGAATCCCTCCAGTTTTAAATAGTTTTGTAGGTCCTATCAATTTCAGTGAAATTTGCATACAGGTATGTTCACATACTGGTACTGACATGCAAGAATTTGTTGATCAGAATCCTGCCATTTACAAGCCGAGTTATATTTTCTTAAGGAAAGCAGGAAAAGGCTAGATTTAGAAGACACCAGTTTTCCTGACAAAATAGAGGTGACTGTGTTGAGAAATGCTATACATGTGTACCACATTTTGCTTGGAGAAGTGACAGCAACAGTGCATTCCTATATATGTGTATTCAAAAGTAAGCCACACTAAGCTCAATGGGACTTACTGCGCCCTGAATTGCTTTAACGGAACTTGTAGAAGAGGTCTACACTGCACTGATTAGTCTAGCTATGTGACCAGGGGAGAAAGCCCTGGATGGCTCCCCTCAGCCCCGCTGGATCTGTCAGTTATGTGCTCCTAATGGCCTTTCTGTTTTCTTTTGTAGCAACACTGAAAGGAGCGCTGTGTAGAACTTCAGTACCTCATTGTCCCAGGCACCCGTTAAGATGCAGCAGAAGAGCAACAAGGACCCTTAATTTAACATGCTTCCTACTTCCCGTGAGCCTCATTGCAAAGGATATCGAACGCTCAGATCCTTGTGACATCTGACATTGTTCTTTCATGAAACAAAAGACTAGTGGCTTGTGATCTTTCTTTCTTTCTTTTTAGAAAAGTGCAATTATGTAAATAGGTAATAGGGGCCAAAGATTATACCTGCTGTTGTACAGTAGTATATGGTGCCCCCTCTTGAGTTCTTGAATTACCAATGAAAAAGCTTATTTCTGATTCCAGTGGCAGATGGAGATTACTGGGCTTCCACACTTAATACGTGCATACTTTTTATATGGGAAGGGGTGAAATAATTAAAACTTGATGCTTCCTTTTTTCTGAATGGGAAGGGGACTATTGCCATGTCAGAAATTAACTTTATACGTGTAACTTGAACTGCCTGTGTGAACACTGTTGATATGAAGACTTATTTTTGTACAAAAAATCTCTAGAAATTGCAATTGGAGAGGAAATATTTGTAGAAGTCTGTTGCACCCTTGACTTCTTAACACTGCCAGCTAGGACGTTTTGAGACCTTACACAACTTAGATAAAGTTTCCTAACATTTTATACTAAAGGAGTGTAAAACTGTTTGTGTTGAATATGATGTCCCAAGACTTTGTTTGTATTTTGTTTTTGGGTCTGGTGTGAAGGTTCAATTCTCTGGAGAAAAACAACAACCCTGAAGTTTTATTTTTAATGTATTGAAGGTATTTTTGTATGCACTTGTTAGGATTTGTTGAGATGTATATATGCAGTTTTTAAAGAGTATCCTATTTTATGTAAATCAACTTTATAAATAAAATCTATTTATAAATAGCCTTTGTTATCATAGCTGTCTTATTCTGATCTCCTGGATGTGGGAAAGGGAAAGCTACAGAGGCAGATTAATACTGTTTTTACCTATGTTTAGATTCATATCTGGGTTCAGATGACACATTGAACCATGGTTCAGTGTCACTTGTATACTTCCCTCCTTTCCTATGCAGCCAGGGTGTGGAAAGCTTTCCCTTAACCACAGTTTGTTGTGTTGTCCAGTGTGTCAAAACTCATCAACACTTAACTATAGTTAATTGCCAGAGGGAAACTTAAAATTGTGGTTTTAGGTGCTGGCTTCTTGAAATCACCCATAGTTAGTGTTAGCCAGAGTTTCTGGTTCAGGCAACCCAGGAAGCTGTGATTAACTAAATGTGGAAGTGGAAGATTCTGAACCTGGAGACCTGGGGGAGGTTGTGCTCAATCACGTCATGCTAAACCGAGGGTGGAGAATCTGTGGCCCACCAGATATTGTTGGATTCCAACACCCACCGGCCCTAGTGAGCGTGGCCAATGGTCAGAGAGGATGGGAGTTTTAGTTCATTAGCATATAGAGGGGCTCAGGTTCTCCACTCTTAGTTTAGTATGATGCTCAAATCTGGTCATGGATTACTTAACATTGCTATATGTAGCCTTAATGCTCGTAAGTGGTTTGTACGTTCTCCCTGTTGCACCTACACAGCATTAGAAGGGATTTTAGGCTCCTAAGGTCTATCCTATTCAGAGAGACCAAATTTACCAAAGTAAGTAATTCAGTGTTCATTTTTACCCAACTTTTCTTGGAGTAAAAAAAAAAAAAGAGTTTACAGTGTTTGTATAGGTAAAATACTTGTGTGATAGAAAACTGCACCTTTTTACACTGAGAAAATGGGTGTAGAACATACCTGCTGCTCCTGCTTTCAGTTGCTGGCATCAGTCTCTCACTTGGGCCCCCATCAGAGATAAAGACCAAATACATAGCACAATTACTTTGCTAACTAGTGCTTTTAATATTTGCATGGCAAAGCATTATAGCATATATTTAAGCTTTGTTGAGCGGGACAGCATTTTTGTGTTCAAGTGCTTAGATGTATACACCTCATACCACTTCTGATGAAAAATTTACAACAAAGACCTCAATTATTATGGATGGCGTTTACCAGTACTCTATATTTCCTTTATTCAATGGAAAAGGGAAACATTTTTGTGAGACTACACAAGAAAAACAGCCACTGTATGTCACCTTAATTACTAATTATGCTATTGAGCCAGAAATTGCAAGTCCAAGAACTATTTTATAGGAATAGTGGCCCATTGAAGAGCTTTGGGTCTAATTTCTGTTGCAAACTTTCAGCCTTCAGAATCTAGATCATGATTGGACATATTTCATTGCACTTGATTATAAGGCAGAGAAATATAAAACAAAACCAAGATAATAGTTGTTAGTGAAGTGGAGCCTGGGACAAGGTCTTTGTGTTGTGATATCTTATTTTCCTATGTTGTGCTTTTACTCCTGTTCAGTTCCATTTAAATTGGTGTCAGAACCTGGCTCTTAGTTAACTGGAAATAAGCATATAGGGCTGATGAGTAGACAATTTCATTTACACCCAGAGGTTATTTAGGAGCCTTTCAAGTGAATAAGCATCAAAGCTTTGTCAGGATACCTTGTGTAAGACTTGTCTTGCCTCTGGCTTCATCAGAGGGCATGTTTCGGTGTGTACAATTGCCGTAACCAAAAAATCCTGTGAGGAAAGGGAAGAGAGCAAGTGTGAGGCATACACTGGCAATAAAAAACAATTCTCGAAATGTTCTTGCGTTTAATGGTTCTGCAGAAACTCAAAACCACAAGCCAAGCCGATACCAATACAGACTTCACAACATTAAACTATAACACTATTCTCAGGCTGGCCATTGGTAAATTCTGCTTTTTCCTTTCTTCTTCCTTAGCTATACTGTTCCAGTTAAAGTAAGAAGAGGAAGTGAGTAGTTGTCAGAAGCTCAATAAGAGGCTAGCTGCAGTCCAGGCTTCCCCTTTTCTCTCCAAGTCAACAGTATTTTGATAATCCAGGCTGCAATCTGCAAAGTGAAGACTTCAAAGGGGTCCTGGAAATGGCCTCTAGGCTTCATGTCAGTCCCCTCTTGGAAGTCTGCAGGTTTGTTGGTTTGCTGGAGCGAACCAGTTAGTTGCAAAGTTGAACTTGGTGGATCTAGGACAGTGGAAAGAACAGTGGTCCCAACTGGGGACAATCTTGGGGAAAATAGGGATTAAACTAATAATCTAATACTTTAACAAGGATGAGGATATTAACTATAGTAAAGAAATAATTGGGCAAATACACATTTTTTGTTTGCCTGGTTCACAGATGCTATGGCCTGGTGGCAATAGTGTGGTAAGTCAAACTATGGCTTACTGACTGGGACAGTGTGAAGACATGCTTCTTCAGAGAAGCTCACAGCTGCATGGGTTCTCCCTGGTTCTTTCTACTCCTATGCCATGGTGAATGAACCACGAAGTTGGCTTAGTGTGACGTCTGAACCAGGATCTGTGCTTTAGTTCTCTTCTCACCAACCACCAGCGGTAGCCAAGGTTTGTTAGAGAACCAGGCCATTATGTCTTGACCCTTGGACGAGGCTCATCGGTCCTTTCCCCTGGGAAACAATTTCTTCAAATCCCTCTAGTATCCTTGCCTGCAGATTGTGAAAAGGAAGCTATGGATCTGCTCTGTTTTGCTACTAACCAGGCCCCAGTAGCAGACATGGTGGGTCTGTGGCTCTCACCTGACCTCTGGTCAGTCATTCTGCTGCTCCCTGGCAGGTGGGTGCAGGGCAAACACACTGGCAGAGCCAATCTGCTGATGCGTTTGCAGTGTACCAACCTCCCTGCTGCCTTGCCTTTCCTCCTCCCCCTCCTGATAAGTAGCAGCAACGCAACCGGCCAGAGGCCAGGTGAGCACCGCCATCCCAACTCCTACTGCCATGTCTCATTCCCAATGCCAGAACTGGAGTAGTCATTCGCAGATGACCCAGTGCTGCAAGCTGGCTCCAGTAGGAAAGAAGGTACAATCTGTAGGAAAGAATCCATCGGGCCTGCTCCATCACCTACGTGTGGCTGTTGGGACTTTTAAAGTCCCAATTTTAAACTGGGAATGTTAAAGCCAAATTCCTAGCCCTCATGATTTTCAGATCAAAAATTTGAAACTATGTTGTTTATTGGGCCCTGGAACAGGGTTGCATCGGTCTAGGTTTGGGTTTTTCAAGGTATTCAAGGTTTGAGACTCTTTCAGATGACCTATTTATTGAGCATTCATCCTGATTTCATTGCACAAAGCTCATGAGGGGATCAAGCAATGCCCAGTCTGAATTAATCATTCATTCTCATTTGTCTGCAAGGAGATTATATGACAATGAGCAACCTTCCAGATTTCATCTGGATTTGCTTGTTCCTATGAGTTAATCAGTCATTTTTCTCACACTTTTTATTTCCTCATCAGTTTCCTAACTGCAAAAAGTCTATTTTTTTAAAGGTGGCATGGTTGTACCAGAGTGCTTTAATCAACTTAAATTGCACAAACTTAAATTTCAGGATGCAACTGAATCCCTCCCAAAAAATACGGAATTTGGAGGTGACCTAAGAGCCCATTTCCTTGTCCTCCCTTGTCCTTCTTCACTCCATGCTTCTTCTCCTTTTTGGTTCCACTTGTGTAATCAAAATGTTCTGATTTCTGTGAAAACTCAGATTTTATCATCAGCATCTGTGATTTTTTTTTTTGAGGGGTTGGAACACAGTAGACACAGGCTACATACACACAATAAATTTAAAGTGCTCCCCCCATACAATCCTGGGAATTGTAGTTTAAGAATCCTGGGAATTGTGGTTCTGTGAGGGGTGAATTAGGATTCTTTGGAGGAAAAATGTGTTTTGAGTGCATTGTGTGTAACAGCCACAATCTATCTTAAAACAGTTGTTTGGTTAGAAAAAGATGTATGGGCAAGGACCAACACATTGCTTTTGTTGGTAATTTTAGTTGCGCTGTGGAACTGAGAACCTGCCAGCCCCCAGTTTGCTACCACTGTTCCTTCCCACTGTTAACAGCCTTGCTGCAGCTCTACACAACACAAGGAAGGGAACAGGCAACAAGTCATACGCAGAAGCATGGGCAATAAGGAAGGAACCTCCAAGAGGGTGCCTTTAAAGTTACTAATGCCTTCTTGCCGGAAGTTGTCTCGCAATCACAGCCTTCGCTGAGAGCAAACAGCCACAACTCATAAACACTGTTGTTACTTTCTTCATTATAACTGCTAGGAGAGAGATCGGCTGAGAAAATGCCTCTGTTGCCTCCCTTCTGCCTTTAGCCAACAGAAAGAGGATTATAGGCTGGACAATGTTTTATATGGTGCCAGTTTCTTGAGCCACCCCATCCTTCAGGGGGAAAAGTTGAAGCAAGTACTGTGATGAATATCCCTTTGATACTTTCAAATAAACTTTTAAAAGACGGCTACATATCTCACTGTGTTGTTACAGGATGCGTGTATCTGAGGTCAAAACACAGCTAGCCTTCAAGATTCGCATTTCTTTGAATTTTGCAAGGCAGTTCACCAATCAAGAAACGGGTCCAAATATGTGTATATTAGGGGGAAGGAAAGTGTACATAAACATGCATATATTAGTGAAAATGTTAAAAATATATTATATTAGGGGAAATTGCTTAAACATATATTAGAGTCAAATGTACATTACAGAATCATAGAATTGTAGAGTTGGAAGGGACCCCAAGGTTAAAATGCTATCAGTTAAAATACTGACAAATTTTCATGAGTCCTTCCTTAAAAAAAAAAAATGCAAACTGATGCAGAAATGTGGAGAACTGAAATTAATAATTGCAAAATGAAAAGTCGGAAGAAATTTAGATTGATAGATTCAGCTACCCCATCAACAAATTAGCCCAATTGGCATCAGGTATATGTCTTAAAAGTCATGCCTTCACCCTTACAGTCAAATCCTCTCCTTTTCCAGAAAGGCTTCT